GTCGTAGAATTCGCATGTGTCAATAGTGAAATAAAAACAGCTGAGTTTGTTTAGGGCGGCAATCCCACCGTTCCGGTAAGAACAAATTGCACGTGTTCAAATGAGCTATGAGATCCCATGTGTTATTTCTGAGAGCCCACATAAAAGTTAAGTGCTCTTGGGCCAGCTGGTGTAGCGGTTAGGGTGGCTAGATATCACATGACCACTGTGCGGTTTGAGTCCCGGACCTGGCAACTTGAAAATCACACTGGGCATTGTGCATGCGGGCACAAAATCCAGAGCGGAAATGGAGCAAAGGGGGATGTGGCGTTGCCATCCCCCATGGGGGGTGATTCCCACTTTCCCTCCCTCTCTCCCACTCTCTGTCTCCCTCTGGTGATTTCATGTGCACTAGAGCAAACGAACAAAAAAAGGCTGAGTGCTCTTATATTAGCATTGAAAACTGGCATCACACAACACAACTCAGGCTAGCAATTTTAATACTACTTTTTATTTACTTAGATTGCTGTTAGTCAGTTTAAGGCGAACCAGTGGCATGGTGGCTAAGGCATTTGGGTCCCACATGGCAAGCACGCAGTTCAAGTCCCAGACCCGGCAGCTTGAAAAACACACCAGGCATGTACGTGTGAGCATATACCCCAAATCCTAAATGGGGAAATGGAGAAGGGACTGTGGCATGGTCATTCACTGTGGGGATGCTTTCTCGCTTCCTTCCCTGTCTCTTTACGGTGAGTACATGTACCCTCTAGCAAATTTTAAAAAGATATACGTAATTAATTTAAAGAAAACCATGGCAGGTCAATAGGCACGTTGCAAAAGAAAAGGCACTTTTTATTTTATTAATGACATTGTTTACCCTTTTCTTTGAACCAGAAGCCTGTAGTTGTACTTGCCTGGGGAGACAGACACAATCAAGAGGCCTCCTCTGCTCCACTCCCAGCCCTAAGCAGGGATGGGGTGCAATGGATGTTACAGCTGTGGGCTGGTGGGCTCACGCTGTGTCCCCCTTCTCCTCCAGCACAGGGAGCACTGCACAGTCATTGTTCATCATCCTGCCCCTCTGGACTGTGGGCTCCGTGAGGTCTGGGAATTGGACAGATGGCCTTTGACGTGGTACCTTATCTTTGGTCACGTAATTAGTTAGTCTCTGACCGGTGGGCATGCTTAATTCTAGAGCTGCCATTTTGAATGAAGTCTCTCTTGGCCATTCCTTTTTAAAGACACATGTACGCGTGCATGTGTGCACACATGTGCACACACACACTTCAATTTCTTTATATTAAGGCAGTGAGAACACGAAAATTAGCAAGAGGTGAGTGTGCCTGGGTGCCCCCCAAGGTCTGACAGGAGCTCCCTTGCTCGGTGTCTCCTTCAAGTTCCATTTCCGGACATGCTCCTAGAGGTTAAAGGGCTTGTCTGGAAACTCTCGGGCCAATTCCCCAACACCTGTGGCTCCCAGATAATAATGCTCATTGCAATTCACTTTATTGACTGAGTACATGAATACATTGACCCAGGAATCAAAGGATGAGTCACTGAAAGGGCAGCAGATCGGAGTGACAAATGCCGAGTGTGTGCCCCGGCAGCAGGTCCTGGCAGGCACGCTCTTTCTTTTTTGCATTGCGCACTCAGACCAGTGACCCTCTAACTCTTGTTGCATCATGCTGGGCGCAGACTGAAGCCAGACTGAACGTGTCAAGGTCCAGCACTTCAGCGGCTATTGTGTGGACTGGGAAAGAGCACAGGCTTTCCGGCCAGACAGGCAAAGGTTCAAATCCCATCAGTCCTCTCATTTTCTGTCCTCTCACTTTGGGTAAATCACTTGTTCCTTTTAGTACTCAGTTGTCCTAACTGTGAAATGGAAATATATATACCCCGTAATATTTTTTAAATTATTTTATATAATATATATATTTAAATTGGCAATTGCTGGCATCGATTATTATTCGTATCCCTCCCCTACTTCAGGTACACAGAGAAAGCTTGGGGCAGCACTACAGGAGGAAACAGCTTCCAAGGCCATAAGAGCTTTCATCTGCGTTATTTGGCCCATGAGATGTTTTTCATGTACTAGTTTGTGTGATTAACTGATGGGAAAGAAGTAGAACAACGGGCAGACACTCAATAAACATTTACTGAACTGAACGAAATCCAGGCCCCTCCCCGCTCCCGGTTTCCTTTAAAGGCAAACTTTCCCCCATTTCCAGGCCCCTTCCTTGCTCCCTCCTCCCCCACTCCAGGGCATCTCGGCTGTGTCCTGCTGGCTTTGTCTTCACGTGTCTTTCTCCAACACCGACCGAGTGCCTGCCGTATGGCTGGCACAGTGCTGGCCACTGTGGGTGTCAGAGAGGTTCCTGCCCTGGTGGAATAAAACGCACTGTAAACAAACAAAATACCAGATCCATGTTGTATGACATAGTGTAGTCAGAGCTCCAACGGGACTGGACAGGAAAAGGTAAATACGAAACATTAGTGACTGGAAGAAAGTCCCCTCAGACAGGAGTTCAGATCTACAGAACAAGGAGCTGGCCAGGCCATGGCAAGAGAGAGGGAGCTCTTTGACATCAAGGAAATGGCACACGCAGAGGCCCTGAGATAGGAGTGTGCTCTGGGGGGCAGCTGGAGCACAGTGAGGGGCGTGGCAGTAGCTCACATCGACCAAGTGCACCTAATGTGCCAAGTAGTTCTGCAGCTCCCCGGGCATTGGTTCAGTGAGTCGTCCGAATGACACTATGAAATATTTTATTTCTTCTTTTTCCTGACATTTTTGCTATAGGGCGCGTGTACTTGCTGGAGAGACAAACAGGAAGTTAGAAATCACTCCCTGGGAAGATGATCATGCTATAATCAGGGTTTGGGGCATGCATCACACGTGACTGGTGTGAGTTTCAAGCTGGCGAGTCCAGGACTCAAACTGCAGACAACCGCACAGGAATTCAACACCTTAACCACCACACCACCTGCTGGCCACAAGATGTTATTTCTTTTATTGCCATTTTACAAATAGAGAAGCTGAGACTCAGAGAGTTTAGGTAGCTAGCCTGAGACCACCCGGCTGATCCCTTCTCAGGCCACCTTGATCCAGAGTCTGTGCCTAACCGGTCGAGCTGTCCCCCACGAGGGGGCATTGCAGAAGCAGGCAGAGACCCTAGTGCTATGCTAAGGAGTTTATGTTTTCCTTTCAAACATCTCTTACCTTTGCTTCTTAGATTGAATCCTAATTCCTCTACTTGCTGAGTGGTCGCCTTAGACTAACTCCTGTCATTTCATTCCACAGCTACTTATTGTGCACCTACTATGTGCCAGGCACAGTGCTGGGCATGGGGAAGAGATGCAATGGCGAACAAAAGCAGATGTGCACAGCCAGCCAGTGGCATGGTGGTTAAAGCAGCTGGATCCCACACAGCTGACTCATGGTTCAAGTCCAGTAGCTTGAGAAACACATTGGGCTTGTGTGCGTGCCCAAAATCCTGAGAGGAGAATGGAGGAGAAGGGATTGTGGCATGGCTATCCCTGCTACGGGGTGCTTTCTCACTTTCTCTCTGGTGAGCACACATGTACTATAGCAAACTAAATAACAACAAACCAATAAAAAGGTGTGCACCTGCCATCAAGGCATCTCTGTCTTTTGCGCGGAAGGATATTCATCAAATAGTCAAAGGGAGAAGGGCTTCAGGGGCCAGAGCCCAGCCTGGGAGAAGCTATCAGGGCCACACTCCAGGAAGGTGTCACTACAGAGTCCACACACAAGCTGAGATTGGGAGCACAAACGGGAAATATCTGGGTAGAGAAGGGGTCGGGGTAGAAATAGAGATAAGCCACAGGATGCCCAGTTAAATTTGAATTTCAGGTAAACAACAAATAATATTTAGTGTGACTTTATGATATGGCAAGAGACGTGCTTACATTAAAGAATTATCTTTTTTTTTCTGACATCCAAATTTAACTGTGTCTCTTAATTTTGTTTGTTAGTTTTGTTCTATTTGGCAACAACTCGAGGTAGAAAAGGTATTCAGGACAGATGGAACAGCATATCAAGCCACGATCACAGCCAGAAGCACAACCAAGGCACAATGTGATGAAGACCCACGACTGGGCACAGAAAGCCTCAGCTGCCCCTCTGCACAATGGGAGTTGTGACAGTACGTAACACGCAGGATTGTATACATGCAAAACGGTTAGCGCAGTGTGGACGTGTAGCTAGTGCTCAGCACCGGGTGCGTGCCATCAGTCCTTCTCCACCACCATCCCCCTCTCTTTTTCTGTCACCTTCAATCAGCTCGAGATCCATCTCTGCAATTCTTAACGTATAACATGATAAGATTGGGATTTTTTACTTCAAGGTGATGCAAATGTGATACACATTCAGTAGAAACCACACTCCATGTACCCATCAACCATTCTAGTTTTATTTTCAGTATGGTACTCAATAAATTGCATTATAAAATAAACCTTCTGGGGACCAGCAGTTGACGTAATGGCTATGCCATTGGACTCCCATGTAATCAACTGTGGTTCAAGTCCCAGACCCGGTGGCTTAAACTCATGCCGGGCGCGTGTGCGTGCGTGTCCAAGATCCCAAGAGGAGAAGGAAGGAGAAGGGATTGTGGCCTGGCCATTCCTCCAGAGGGTGATTTCTCGCTTTCTGTTTCTCTGTCTCTCTCTGTCTTTCTGGCAAGTACATGTGCCCTATAGCAAAAACCTCTCAAAAAAAAAAAAAGGTTAAAAAAAAGCCTTCCGTTAGACATGTTTGCACAACTGTAGACTGATATAAGTAGTATAATTTACAGTAGGCTAGGCTAAGCTATGATGTTTGGTAAGTTAGGAGTATTAAGTGCACTGTCACCCTACGGTATTTTCAACTTTAGATGGATTTATCAGAACATAACCTTATCCTACGCAGAGGAGCATCTGTGTGCTTACTGGAAAACAATGATTCACAAGTAAAAATAGTTACTACGGGAAGGCCATAGTTTACTAAGATATGCAGTCAGTCCCTATGACAGAGGCCCAGCATGGGTATTTATTTCTCCCGCATGTATTGGCTCATTGGGAAAGTCATGACACATTTTTACATAGAAAAACATGCCCAGGCAGCGTCCAGGGGATAAGAGACTCAAGATTCTTCTGTCATTTACGATGCTGCTTTATAGCCTGTCTCTGAGGATTCCAACAGCAGGTATCTTTGTGGGTCTGTTTCTATTGCCTGTTATTTCTGCTTGCTTCCCCTCATGCAGGCTTATTCCCTTGTCTGTTTGATTACACTAGTTAAATAAACGCACACATGCGCCCCAAAAGTCCATAAGCACCACATTTATATTCCAAACAGTGGTAGGGGGAGAAATGGTGCCGGGGAGGGCCCAACCTTTCCCTTTAAAGGAGCGACTCAGAGCTGTACGAGTCACACTCAGACCCTTTGGCCAAAACTTAGTCAAATAGCCACAGCTGGCTGCAAAGAGAGCTGTAAAATGGAGTCTTTACTTTGAGGGTGACAACGTGCTCAGTAAAATGTCAGGCTTCTGTCACACAGAATGAGAGGTGGGGATGGGGATGGGGGCGCACCAGCAGTCTGCCGACAGCCAAGATGCCAAAGTCACCCAGACTTGGCTGCCACACCTTCCATGTGGGCTCTGTTCTAGCTACAAGGAGTGAGGAATCAAGGCTGCTGGAAAGACAGGGATGCTAGGGAGTAGCAAAACATAGAAACAAATCTTAGGATAATTAGGACAAGCAGTTAAATGGGATGTTTAATGCCAGCCACAGTGAAAGAGCAAGTTTTCCACTGCAGTTGCTCATAAATTCAAAACAGCTTCAATGAAGGAGAAACAGCTTGAAAACCTTCTGTGAGTATATTGGGAAACATAGGGATATAGATAGATAGATAGATCACATATCCATGAGAGAGAGAGAGAGAGAGAGAGAGAGATTCAGCCTTGCCTAGCCCTGGAAGAACATCAGAGTTAGATTATGTCATGTAACAAGGGACAACATTTGATTCTAATGAGAGAAGTTACCACATTGTACTTACGCCTTTGCAGCTCTTTCAAACTTGGTCCTTGTTTTCTGTCTGTATTTACGTCTGCCAGTCACTGAGCCGTTGAACATTTGCGTTGCTATTTAAATGGGAGCAACCCCGTGTGTGATCTCTCCCCTCGTTCACTCCGTGAAGCTGTAATGAGTGCCTACTCTCCACCAGGCTCGGCTGTGGGCCAGACGAGAATGCAGACGTTGCAAAGATGAAGGCTTCTCCCCTAGGACCGTGTGTGCCGCCCTTGGCAATGGGTAACCTCTGGGCCTACTCTACCCACAGAGGCGCTGCCAGGCTAAAGGTATTCTGGAACCTTCTGCCATTGACTATAAATAGTCAGATGCTCCCATAGATGTGACCTGACAAGAAAAACAGAACTCTAGAGGGAAGCAGTCCTGGGTTCACATTGCCCTCCCTCCCCCCACTCTTTTCTTTCTTTCTTTCTTTGTACGGCCTTGGGTAAAGAAGAGGCACCTTCCCTGGGAGACTCCCGAGAAGTGTGGAGGTGAAGCCACAGGCTGCGGACAGGTGGACCAGGTGGTCCTGCCTTTAATCTTGGCTCTGACTCCTCTAGGGTGACCAGTCATCTGGCTTGCTCAGAACTGAAGGTTTTCCGGGATGGCAGAATTTCAGTGCTAGAAACATGGCTGTTACAGGCAAACCAAGACAGTTGGTTACCCAATTAGCAGACGCTTGGTCCTGGCTAAATTACGCAAGCTCTCTGAGCCTCCAGTTTCTCACATACAAAAACGGGCATGGGACCAGCAGTTAGTGTGATGGCTATGTCGCTGACTCCCATGTAGTCGACCACGGTTTGAGTCCCGGACCTGACGGCTTAAGCTCACGCCGGATGCATGTGTGTGTGTGCCCAAGATCTCAAGAGGAGAAAGGAGGAGAAGGGATTACGGTGTGGCCATCCCCCCTGGGGGCTGATTTTTCGCTTTCTGTCTCTCTGTCTCTCTCTGTCTGTCTGGTTTGTGCACACGCCCTATAGCAAAAACCTCTCCAAAAAAAAAAAGAAAAAAAAGGCATGAAGTCTATCTTGAAAGAGAGCTGCAGAAAACAGAAAAAGTAGCTTGTGCGGAGTAGCCATCATCATTGTCGTTAATAATGTCATTAATATCTCTTCCTCTCTGCCCGCGTTCCTACTTTATAATGGCCAGTGCCCTAAACCTATCAGGGGGGTCCTTACAGCTCCCCTAGGCTATGAAAAAGCACCTGAAGTGAAGGGCTTCCTCTCTGGTGCTTCATGTTTCTGGAGGGAGAAGTCAAAGAAAACTCCCGGCCTCCATGGCCCCCACATCCCAGGTGTGGGTGAGTTCTCAATGTCCCTGTGACCCTCCAACATTGTCAAGGCTTTGAGTCAGATATAAACTCCTCCAGTGCTGATCATGGTCTTCTTTGCTATGAATGTTGCTTGACTCTGTAGCTCCGAGACAACCCTGAGGATGACCTTGTCCACCCCAGCCTTGATTGCATTCGAGAGACCTTAAATGTAATTAGCAAGAAAAGAAAAAGAATGCGATACATGCTTGTGCTTCTTTGTTGAGGGAAAAATATTCACCAAGTACTCCAAGTAAAATTGCTTCATAGTCAATGATTTCATCCAGCCCTAGACTCCCAGAAGGAGCTGCAATGCTGAGGACACAGCTCAGCTCAACAGTCAGAAAAGGTGTCAATTTGCAAGAATGTGAAATCTTCATCCAAGCTTCTCAGTTCTTTCACAAATGATTGCCTTCCTCCTTTCCAGGCCCAGCTCTCCAGACTTTAGAGTGGGAGACACACATGTTGACTGCAAACTTGACATGCGTGCCCAAGATCTCAAGAGGAGAAAGGAGGAGAAGGGATTACGGTGTGGCCATCCCCCCTGGGGGCTGATTTTTCGCTTTCTGTCTCTCTGTCTCTCTCTGTCTGTCTGGTTTGTGCACACGCCCTATAGCAAAAACCTCTCCCAAAAAAAAGAAAAAAAAGGCATGAAGTCTATCTTGAAAGAGAGCTGCAGAAAACAGAAAAAGTAGCTTGTGCGGAGTAGCCATCATCATTGTCGTTAATAATGTCATTAATATCTCTTCCTCTCTGCCCGCGTTCCTACTTTATAATGGCCAGTGCCCTAAACCTATCAGGGGGGTCCTTACAGCTCCCCTAGGCTATGAAAAAGCACCTGAAGTGAAGGGCTTCCTCTCTGGTGCTTCATGTTTCTGGAGGGAGAAGTCAAAGAAAACTCCCGGCCTCCATGGCCCCCACATCCCAGGTGTGGGTGAGTTCTCAATGTCCCTGTGACCCTCCAACATTGTCAAGGCTTTGAGTCAGATATAAACTCCTCCAGTGCTGATCATGGTCTTCTTTGCTATGAATGTTGCTTGACTCTGTAGCTCCGAGACAACCCTGAGGATGACCTTGTCCACCCCAGCCTTGATTGCATTCGAGAGACCTTAAATGTAATTAGCAAGAAAAGAAAAAGAATGCGATACATGCTTGTGCTTCTTTGTTGAGGGAAAAATATTCACCAAGTACTCCAAGTAAAATTGCTTCATAGTCAATGATTTCATCCAGCCCTAGACTCCCAGAAGGAGCTGCAATGCTGAGGACACAGCTCAGCTCAACAGTCAGAAAAGGTGTCAATTTGCAAGAATGTGAAATCTTCATCCAAGCTTCTCAGTTCTTTCACAAATGATTGCCTTCCTCCTTTCCAGGCCCAGCTCTCCAGACTTTAGAGTGGGAGACACACATGTTGACTGCAAACTTGAGACTGAGAAGGCAGTACTTACAGAAAAATGCCAGCGCATTCTGTTTTTTTTTGTGTGTGTGTGTGGAGAGGTTTTTGCTATAGGGCACGTACGCTCGCCAGACAGTCAGAGAGAAACAGAGAGACAGAAAGCGAGAAATCACCCCCCAGGGGGGATGGCCACACCCGCAATCCCTTCTCCTCCGTTCCCCTCTCGGGATCTTGGGCACACACGTACATGCGCCCGGCGTGAGTTTTAAGCCACCAGGTCTGGGATGCGAACCGCGGTCGACTATGTGGGAGTGCAGCGACATAGCCATTACGCTAACTGCTGGTCCCATCAGTGCATTCTTTTTTTTCTTAAAGAAGGAAACATATGGATATTGGATCTGTGAGATGATTAAGCTGGAGCTAAACCTCTGCTCTGATTCCCCGCCTGAGGACAGTTTTAGAGGAGGAGCTAGCAGACTGATGCTATTTTCTAGAAGTTTCTAGAATGTTGCCCCTGCCTGAGGCTGGCCACCAGTCTCAAGAGTGATTCCTGGCACAGGAACATACAGGGCTTTCACGAGGCCTTTGTGTCTGAGGAGTAAAACAACCCCCCATGTCTCATGGACCAGAAAGGCATCCCTAGTTCATACCTAGATCCATCATGGGCAAGAGGCTCAGGAGCGCCACGATTGCTTTAGATCAACCAAGACTCCGACCTGCAGCTGGACCTGCAGCCTCCCCCTTGACACTTACTGCTATAAAGGGAAGGGTTGATATCAAAACAAACTCAGGACCCGGCTGAGATGAAGGACGTTAGCGCACAAATAATAATAGTGATTAACGGTCCTCCGGTGCTCACCATATGCCAAGAACTGTTCTAAGCACCTTACGGTGGCTGACAAGGTGGCGTGCCAGTCCCTGTCAGCCCCTGGCCCATACTGCCTCCGTCTGCCTGAGTTCCCAAACATATCTGTCTCAGTCTGTTTGTGCTGCCATTACAGAATACCTGACATTGCAGGACAGGCAGTGACGTGGGGGTCATGCAACTGAACACGCACGGACACGTCCTGAGCTCATGTCCCAGGGCCTCTCTGTACATGCCGAGTGTGCGTGCCTGGGATCCGGACCCGTGAAGGCTGCACATGGATGAAGAGGTGAGGAACAAGCACTGATGTGGGGCCATAACTCTGGCATTTAAGTCTTTCCCCTTTTTGATAGCATTATAACCAATTAATAAGTAGATAATTGAATAGTTAAGCATAGCATGACTCTGGACTTCACTATCTTGTGCCTATAAAATTGGGCTAATAAAAACTGATATTCTATCTCCTTAAAAAAAAAGAAAAAAGATGTGAGGAACCTGTTGGGGATGTTTCTTTCTCTCTCTCTCTCTCTCTCTTTCTCTCTCTCTCTCTCTCTCTCTTTCTCTTCCTCCTCTCTCTGTGAAGAAAGAAAAAAACAATAAAACCTTTTTAAAATATTTATTATTTTATTTGTTATTAATATTATTTTTTAATTTGGCCAGAGAGAGAGAAAGGGAAAATGAGAAAGCAAGCTGCCAGGTCTAGGACTCAAAACCATGGTCAGCCATATGGAAGTCCAATACCTTAACCACTACTCCACCTGCTAGCCCCAACAAATAAAATTTAAAAAAAAAAAAGAAAGAGAGAGAGAGATCTAGCCAGGTGGTTAAGGGAGACCCCACATGGCTCATTGTGTGGTTCAAATCTTACCCCCAGTGGCTTGAAAACTACACCAAGCATTTTTGTATGCATGCCTACAATCTAGACGTGGTAAAGACGTGAAGGAGAAGGGATTATGAGGTGACCATGCTCCACTGAGGGCTGCTTGCTTCCTCTCCCTCTCTCTGTCTCTCTCTGGCAAATAGATGCACCCTCTGGCAAACTAAAAAACAAAAACAAACCCTGAGAATGGGTCATTTATAAAGAAAAGAAGTTCATTTTGGCTCACAATTTTGGAGGCAGAAGTCCAACTTTGAGAACTGTGTCTAGTCAACTTCTGGTAAGAGGCTGGTGCTACATCAAAACATGGCAGAGAAGAGAAAGAGGAAATGGGCATGTGCAAGAAAGGGGAAGGGTCACCGTTTGACAATCTGCTCTCTCTGTAACTAATGCAGTCCCACAAGAGTGAAAACTCACTCTCCACTGGTTGCACCAACCCACCTATGAAGATGGAGCTTCCTGACCCAAATACATCCAGTCAAGCTTCATGTCTTAAAGGTTCTGCCTCTCAACATTGCTGCACTAGGACCAAGCCTTAACATGCGTGTTGATGACGACAGCCACACCCAAACTACAGCAGTGTTCACGGCTTCCTGCACCTCTCTGCTGGAGAGTGTTCTTTGGTCACGGGGACATGCTTGGCTCACACAGTAGACGGGTGGGAAGTCCTGGAGTATTAACACCCTAAGAGCAACTAGCAGATGGTGGGCAAACACCATAGGTTCCTCACCCTGGTGGACAACTCTGAGGTGCATGCCACAGCCTCTCTTAGAGGCTCCTGGGTGCCCACAGCAGAGACTTTTCATCCTGTGATTTATTTACTTTCCTTCCCTTTCTGTCTCACTTTCCTTCTGCCTGCCTTAACTATCCTCTTTTTAACAACATGAATTGACTAGGGGACCTGTCTCAGCATACTGTTATCATTATTGCTAAGTGATCTTCAATAAAGAAGTGTCATCCCTGTCCACTAATCAATGGTCCCTCACAGACCATGTAGTCCCTACCCATTTGTGATCTCCTCAGACCTCCACGTCAGGGGTATTTCCTTCCTACATTCCTGCCCATGAGGACACAGTGACCTTAGGGTATCAAGTGATTTCTCCAAGACTACTCAGTTAGGAGGTATGAGGACTAAGAAAGGATTTGAACCCAAGTCCCTATCTATATCATGATTGTCCGAAGGGTCTAGCCCAAGGCTCTCTAAGTGACACTGACATGAGGGTTCAATACTAGGAGAAACCAGTTCTGGGGAAATTCTACCATAAACAGGGAGCCCCACCCATGAAGACTCAACAGTGGTGGACGACTTTTGTAAACATGAGTCAGAGAAGGAGTCCTCTTGCCTGGGGTCCTCTTCAACTGGCCACGTCAGAAGGAAGCAGCCAGCTGCCAGGGAAGCCAGGCCAGGTCAGATTTAATAGCATGCTTAAATAGCATGCTTAGAACATTAGAAGGCCCCAATCTCTGTTGGCATGGTCCAGAAGAGAGAGAGAGTCAGCCTCTCAGTGGATCCTGAGCCAGCATTCCATGGCTATACCTTTGGGAAAAACTTTGAGAAAAAGAAGCCCTAATTCCCACCCCCAAAGGGGTTTAGTCAAAAAGAAATGGGATGCAGGCTAGAGCTGGCAGCGTCCTTGAAATCAGCAAATCCAAAACTCAGAGAAACAGGCGGCCCAGAGGGGATGAGTGACTCACCCAAGGTCCCATGGCTGCTTGAATTAGAGGAAGCCAGGACTCAGATCTACATGCCCCAACTCCTAGCCCACCGCCTTTTCCCTACTCGCCATTTTACATTTGATAGGAAAATTATTTTTCATACTTGAGCTCATTTTTTCTTTATAGCAAACCTGTGAGAATGATAGATAGAGACTATTTCCCTATCTCCCGGTAGGGGAGACTGAAACCCAGGGTCACTTTGCTAAGGTCAACCAGAGCCTGTGGTACCTCAGTCATGAAGGAGGCACTGAAAACACACAGAGGCTGGCTGAGCATGGGCCCCTACTCTACACTACCTGGTGTGGGGCCCCCAGCAGACTAATTCAGGGACTCCCAAGGACCTGGCAATCTTTTCACGGGAAGGAACTCTTTGACTTGGATAAATCAGTTTCTTTTTTTTTTTTTAAAGAATTATTTATTTATTTAAATTTGTTATTGTTATTTTTTTCTTTATTTGATGAGAGAGAGAGAGAGAGAAAGGGAAAGTGAGAAAGCAAGCCACCAGGTCCAGGACTTGAACCATGGTTGGCCATGTGGGAATCCAACGCCCTTATCCACCACACCACCTGCTGGCCCCCGATAAATCAGTTTGTTAGTGTTAAGTTTCCTAGGACCCAACCTTCTTCCCGTGTTCAGGAATTAAATATTTGGAGTATCTCTGAGTAACTTAAGAAAATTAATATTAGGGCCCAGGAGGAGGCATGGTGGTTAAGGCACTGGACTCCCACCTGCTGGACAGTGGTTTGAGTCCCAGATCTGGTGGTTTGCTTTCTTGCTTTCTCTCTCTTTCTCCCTCTCTCCTTCTCTTTCTGGTGGGCACATGTGTCCTATAGCAAATTAAATAATAATAAATAAAATTAAATAAATAATTCTTCTTTAAAAAATAAAGCTGGGCCAGCAGATGGCATGGTGGTTAAGGGCACTGGACTCCCACGTGGCCGACCACAGTTCAAGTCCCAGACCTGGTGACTTACTTTCTCACTTTCCCTCTCTCTCTTTGTATCTCTCTCTGGTCAAATTAAAATAATAATAA